AAACAAAAACAGGCAGAAGTCACACGGGGATTCCAGATATAAAAAACTGAACACAATACTCTAGGTGAGGTCTAACACAGGGGTGTCAAACATGGGGCCCGTGGGCCGGATCAGGCCCTCAGAGGGCTTCTATCAGGCCCACAGTGGAACTGGTTGTCTTCTGCTTCTTCTTCCAGTTCTGCTGCTGCGTCATCATAGGTTTGCAGCTTAAAGGTGCACACCTGAACAGCATACTCAAGACTGCAACAGCACAGACATTTTGATGCAATAATTCAGAGCAAGAGGTGTCAGTTATCAGACACTGTTAAATAAGCAAAATATTGCAAGAGTTCTAATGTTTTAAGCATGTTTTTATTTTAAGTAAAAAAAAAAAATCTCTTTGTGTTTGTGTCCTTTATAAAGTTTATATCTCTGCTACCTGGCATTACGTTTTATGACACACATGGCCTGGCCCAGCAAGGTCTCATTTATGTCAAATCCGGCCCTCTAAAGCATAAATAAATAAATAAATAAATAAAACCTCTGCCTTGGCTCTGGAAAAACTGGAGCCCCTGTCCGTACCACCAAGAAGGGAACAACTACCACTCTCCTGGTCAACATGCCCTCAGACTGTCAAGAACACAGATCAAATGATACTGAGCTGAACCCCTCTCAGCTTCTTGAGACCTTGAACACAACCATCCTCTGAGAGGTGTCCCAGGAGAGCAGGCACATGGCAGAACGGTCTCAAGAATGACATGGCAACTGTATCCTTCTAAAAAAGACCCCAAACACCTAACAACTAGCTCTTATTCTTTTGAAGAGGCATACAGAAGTGGTGACCCACCAGAACAAACCACAGTCCCCAATGTTCCCTCTAAGCTGTGGAGTCTTTGTGAACAAAAATTCAACTTTGCGAGCTACTGGCACTAAAGCTGTGAGCGAGCCATTTGGTGATTGCATAAATGAGTTTGCTCTGGAGCCATCCTTCCTGAGCTGAGACAAAAATGTGCGAGCAGGAGGCTAAAAAACTGTGAGCTAGCTCACACTAACTCTGCTTAGAGGGAACACTGGTCCCCACCAGATGCTCTACAATTTGCTGCCTGCCTGGGCCTGTAAAAAAAATAAGAAGACGTGGCCAGTGGGTCTGCGCCCGGCGAGGCACATGTGTCTCTGCTGAGTTTTTCATTTTTGCTAGCAAAACAAAACACGCATTAAGGTCGTGATACAATTTGGCTTTTGTTAGAATGAGCATTACAGAAGTATCTAAGACTATTGTCTTGCCCACACAGGAAAATCCAGTTCTAAATGGTTTCTATGGCACAATGATACAGCTGTATTCCATTATGTATGGATTCAGCCCGAGGCTGCGGAATATCTGGCACAACGTTATTTATTCAAGAGATCACGTTAGCTTCTGAAACTTGGCTATGCTATTTTCCCCCCTGATCATAACAGCAGAACATTTTTATTCAAAAGGTAACTAAAAAGCCACTGTGTCAGATCTTCAACCACGTTGAAGCATTGTAGCGAGACATAGATGAAAATCTCTCTTTTGCACATCCGTGGACTTATATACTACATTAAAAAACTGAAAAGTTAGTGGAATGCAACAGAGTTTAAGCCCTACCAAATGGTGTGGAGGGAACCAATGCTCTCTCTAAGCTGTGGAGTCTTGTGAGGAAAAATTCTACTTTGTGAGCATAAATTAGTTTGCCCTGGAGCCATCCTTCCTGAGCTAAGAACAAAAATGTGTGAGCTGGAGGCTAAAAAAACTGTGAGCTAGCTCACACCAGCTCAGCTTAGAGGGAACACTGGAGGGAAATTGTTCCTCCTACTACAGAGCTAGTCCTAAATCAAACATACAGAGCAGTCTCCAAGCCAATCAAATACACACAGCAGTATCTGAGCCAGTCTTGAGTATTTCTGTCCCCGTTTGCCATTCATAGCAGCTTTCCTTTCCACGTTGCTGCAACCTGAATTCTCAGGATGGATTTCAATCAACTGATTGCTTCCCCCGCCCCCCATCAAGAGTTCTAAACAGTTACTTTACCTTCTTCTATGGACTTGACAAAGACTCCAGAAGGATTCCAGTGCGTTGTGAACCCAAAGTTCCGACCGCTTCCTGGTTTCTGGTTTATACTGATTCTCATGTCACTGAACTGGCCCTGGAGGAAAAAACACACCAAACCAACACAGAATGTAAGATAACACTGTGGTGTCTGGTGTCACAGGCACCTACATGGAAGAAAGTCTATCCCCTAAATAAGTGAGGCTACTGACAATACACGCTTTTTAATTATCTATCAGGTAGTTATAAATGTTCGCCATATTGCAACGGTTTAGTCTAGCAATGCATTGTAAGTTTTGTTTTTAGATACAGAACGGTGGTAAACCCTTGGCCCTCAGTCACAAGAGCATCACGGTCCTGATGTACTTTCTCTGCAGACAGAAAGCTGAATCCAGCATAGAAAATGACAAAGTGCCGAGTATTGTGATGGGGGAATTGCCCTTTATTAAGCTTTGACGATCCATGCATGGGTGGTATCTTGGATTTCCAGAGGCAGCCAGGAATACACAAATGCTTGCAAAAGGGCAAGAGGTATTTATGCATCAAATATTTTACACAAAACAGAATTATGATTTAAAGAGTATAGGCAACTGGCTAGGGAACACAGTCATGATACAAACTGGATAGGGAACACAAACTGGTGGCCTCTCTCACTGCATCTGCACAGGGCCGGGATCTGGTTAAAATTGTAAGACTACTGCAAACATGTGTCAACCTTAGTTGTTTTGTGGGTATACAAAAATTGTATGAAAATTTAGGTTTAACCTAGGTTTTCTGGGAGTATCTACAGGTCGATAATGTTATAATGGTTTTACTTTTGGATTGCTCTTTTTTGTGTACTTAACAATTAATAAAGAATAAAGATTAATTAAACCCAAAGAATTAAAAGAAAGACAGGGGACTAACAATGTTAGGGGATCGGAAAGACAACATATAATTCATGTTTTAATTGCACAACGCCGTAACTGCACGGTGTACAGGGTCAGATGATGCTGGGGTGCTGGCCTGTCCAGTTATTCAGGATACGTTTCAGTTTAACCAGTCTGGGGATGTGGACAGGATCCTTGCAGATTGGAGGCCTACCACCTGCTTCTATGACTCTTGCCTTTCTGGGTTACTTAAATCTGTCAGAGAGGGCTGCCTGACTCAGTCCAACAGGCAGTTAATGCTTCCTTGAGAGAGGGAGTTGATTCCCCGGCCTTGAAACAGGCTATGGTACTCCCATTTCTAAAGAAGCCTACCCATGACCCCAGAAGATCTCAATAACTATCAACCTGTCCCATTCTTGAGCAAGGTGATTGTACAGGTGATGGCTAGACATGGCTAGACAATTTCAGGCTCTTCTGGATGAGGTAAATTGTTCAGATTCTTTCCAATCTGGTTTTAGGCTATGTTACAGGACGGAAAAAGCCTCGGTTGTCCTGGAGGATGACCTGTGCTGGGAGACAGACAGAGGTTGTGCAACTCTGTTGATTCTCCTGGACTTTCCAGCAGCACCCAACACCACTGAGAATGGTAGCCTCCTGGACTGCCTCTCCTGACTGGGATTGGGAGACACTATTTTGAGATGGGTTCCAGTCCTACCTGGAGGGTAGGTTTCAGCAGGTGGTGCTGGGGGACTGCTCTTCAGCGCCTTGGCCTTGGCCCAAGGGGTCCAAAACAAGGTTCCATCTTGTCCCCTATGCCCTCTAACATCTACATGAAACCAATGGGTGACGTCATCCAGAAATGTGGGCTGGGTTGTCACCAACAGGCAAATGACACTCAGCTCTCACTTGTGCTTCCGTTTGATCCCAGGGAGGCTGTAGGAATCCTGAACTTATGCCTGGAGGCCATTTTGGATTGAATGGGGGGCTGGCACTTAATCCTAGCAAGATGGAAGTGCTGCTGTCGAGCAGAAGGTCTCACCCGGGAATTTGTTTCCCATTCTGTATGGGGGGGGGTTGCATTTCCCCTGAAGGCACAGGTCTGTAGTCTTGGGGTGCTCTTGGCCCCAGACTACTGCTAGATAAGCAGGTGCCAACTGTGGTGCTCTTTACCAGCTTCTACTGGTTAGCCAGATGTGGCTTTTCCTGGGCAGAAAAGAAGAAGAAGAAGAGAAGAGATTGGATTTATACCCCGCCCTTCACTACCCAAGGGAGTCTCAGAGCGGCTTACAAACTCCTTTTCCCTTTCCCTCCCCACAACAGACACCCTGTGAGGTGGGTGGGGCTGAGAGAACTCTGACACAAACTGCTCTTTCAGGAACAGCTGTGCCAGAGCTTGTGACTGACCCAAGGTCACACCCGCAGCTGCAAGTGGAGGAGTGGGGAATCAAACCCGGTTCTCCCAGATTAGAGTCCGCACACTTTTTTTTTTTTACAAATTTATTTTTATTTTGATATTAAAAACATACTTTCATGTTACATATTTCATCAGATACACTTATGGAGTCTTATTCATTTACATTGATCCAGCTATACAGCCTCTTCCATCTTTCCTTAAATACTTTTTCATCCTTTCCCTGAAGGATTAAGCTTAACTTGTCCATCTCCGCTATCTCCAATAACCTATCAACTAGGTCATCCAGTTTTGGTATATATTCTTGTTTCCAAAATCTGGCTAACAAGATCCTTGCAGAAGTCAATATGTAAATTATTAGATATTTATCTTTCCATCTGTAACCTTCTGGTAGCATGTTTAGCAGTACTACTTCAGGGGATAGCTCTATTTTAATTCTAGTTATCTCTTGAATTGTTTTCTGTACCATCCTCCAATACTCTTGTATTTTTGAGCATCTCCACCACATATGATAAAATGTATCATTTTATCAAGAGTCCGCGCACTTAACCACTACACCAAACAGATCTGGCCACTGCACTGTGCGTCCTCTTTACACTGAGGTCAGATTATTGCAAAGTGTCCTACGCAGGGCTGCCTTTGAGAAGTGTCTGGAAACTTCAAATGGTGCAGAATGCTGCTGCTGGTGCTGGGATGCTGACCAGACTGGGTCATACGGACAATATCCCTCGTGCCTTGGCCTACCTACACTGACTCTCAGTATGTTTCCAGGCACAATTCAAGATGATGGTGTTGACTTTTAAAGCCCTAACAGGGTTTGGCATTAACATGCCTGAAGCACCGCCTACTGTTTTATGAATCCCCTCGCAACTAAGAGCAGACAGAAAGACTGAGGAAGTGACCTTCCTTTATGAACAAAATTTGTATTCAGATGCTTGGCCTTCCTTATTCTTTCATAGGAAAATACTTAAAATTGCTAAGGTGTGTGACCTGGAAATGCGGGAGCTTGGCACACACATGGCCCTCCAAGACACTTGATTACAGCACAAGGCTCTGATTATTACAGACCTGCCCACCTCTCCAAATTGGAACGGAAGCTAAGCTGGGGCTGTTCTCTCCTTCCCCACAGTTTGACCTCTGATCTTCGTACTATACCCTCGCTCTGATCAGTTTTACCAGCACTAAGGCTTCCTAAAGAAGGTACACGCTTTACTAAATCTAACTAACTTTTTTTTACGGTGGGGCAGTCTTTTCTAAACCACCTCAAAAACTGAATTTGAATAACTGAAATGCACTAGGATAGTGCATAAATTATTGCGGGATTTGGTGCACCCACAGATATGTTCCTAATACAACGTCAGTAGCTCCTTTTTAGAGAACCTGCTTTAAATTCCATCCTCTAGCAAAGTGCCAACAATCCCTTTAGAGCTAGAAACGGAATAAAAATATTTATTTACTTGCATTTATAGTCTGGGCTAGCCCATCCTAAAGGCAGCACGAAAGCAAGCTAACTTGAGCAAGACAATGGCCATTTCCACATGGATTATCTGCCCTGGGTTCAATACTTCTGAGAAGTGTGGTTTTCCCCTGCTTCCCCACGGCATTCATTCACCTCCTGGGGTTTCCCTATCTTTTCTCTGGTCTTTCCCAAACCTGTTTGCTCCGAAGTTGTGCAAAAGATTGCAATAAAGCCTGGAATGGCTGCTATGTGGTTGGGAAAATTGAGTTTTCCCCTCCCACTAGGGTCGCCAAGTGGAACTTACCTTGGCGGCGGGGGACTCCTTCGTGGATCCCCGCACACACATCACCAGGAAGCGACGTTATGACACCGGGCACGCTGGGGGCGGGGCCACGACCATACAAGGGAAAACCATAGTTTTCCCTTGTAAGGCCGTGGTCCCGCCCCCAGCGTGCCCGCGTCACTTTCGGGTGACGCGCACATCAGGGAGGAGTTTCCCCAAGGCTCGATCCGGCACCGCCGGCGAACGGGCCTCTGGGGCGGGGGTTTCCCCACCCCCTGGGGGGACTTGGGATCCCTACCTCCCACAGGGGCCACCATTTCCCCTCCCCCTGTCCCTACACCTTCTCCTCCCCTTGTCTTGGGGGGGGGGGTTTGTTTGAAAAAAAAACAGCATTCAAATATCATTATACTGTTTTAACAACATGCCAACATGTGTACCAGGTTCTCTGAATTCCCAACTTTCATTTTTAAAAAAAATAAAGTAAGTCTCTAGCTCTCTCTGTTGCAGAGATATGCCTTTCTCCTTGTATTGCTACAAAAGAAGGGAGTACAAAATTTCAAAAAAAATGAAAGCTGGGACCTGGAACACATGTGGGCATATTGTTGTATTGATGTAATGGTGTTCTAGAGCTTTACAAAAATAATTGCAAAAAAGGCCCAGTGGATCGAGATGGGGAGCTGTGGGGGGACTGGGCCGGGAGTGTGTGGGAAGACCTGCCATGCGGAAGCCCCACTGTTCACTGCACTGTATCAGCAGACACGCCAGCAACAGGGAAAACACACAAGCCCAACCCCGTGTGGAAACCACCAATTAAAAACAACCAAGTCACAACAATACAGGCCAGGACTTCAAATCAAAACAGAATAAGAGCTTAAAGGAAGACAGCATTAAAGATGTGGGTTAGAGGGAAGCTGATCCATTTCAAAGATGCATACCCCCTCCTTCTTGACATGAACTTAGCTAAAAAAAAAAAAATCCCCTCAAAATTTAAAAAACGCATTAACCTTTTTGTCTGTGCGAGCGAAGAGTTCTAACCTCTGGGGTGTTATTTAGCGCACTGAAGTGAAACAAGGCT